TTGGATAGCTGCAGCCATGTCTCCTTTTCGACCAGTCAACTCTTGATTGGTAATGTGCAATTTGGTATCGGTTCGAACCAAGGCCCGGTTTACTGCAGCTAGCTCCTCTTCAAGTTGGGCTTTCTTCTCCAGCAGCTGAATTCGAAATTGAGAAGCAGAAGAGTGCTGTTCCTTGAGATCTGATACTTCAGTATGCACTTGAGAAACAAAACTCTGATCCTTAGCCAGTTTCTCGTCTGCAGCCTTAGCAGCATGACAAATGTTGAGGTAGAAGTCAACAGTAGTTGCTGCCTGAGATAGATAACTTGAAACTTTCATGCCGGACTGCTCAGCAATTTTGCAACATTGAAGGAACCCATCTCTGATTATTGGCCTTTGCAGAGCCTCGAAGGGAATTCTTGAGAAAGAAATTAGCAGTTCTAGGCATGTGCCCGTATCTATCAAAGGTGCAGAAGGCTTGCTGCTAGAGGAAGAACTCTCAAAAATTTCCAGCAAGGAGTCAGCTAGGACTAATGGCTCAGCTTCGGCATTAAATGATGGAGAGGTAGAGGGTGTGTCGGAGAAACTAGCCAGTTTGGCTTCGAAAATGTCTACCTCATCCATAGACATGAGGGGTGCAGAAAGTGTTGTGGTGAAAAGCACAGAGGACTGCATGGGAACAGGAGAAATAGGTGGAGCATTTCTGGCAGCCTCTATGGTCTTAACCACCAATGAATCAAGTGAAGAGGGGCTGGAAGTGGGTAAAGATGATGAACCAAGAGTTGGGGAACTATCAGCACCCTCTGAAGGAGAATCAACTGCCATGTGAGATGAAGTGGCAGTAGGAGGAAGAGCGAGGATCGAAGAAGCAAACTGAGGCAGATCAAGAGTCAAGAAAGGGAGGTATGGCTCTAGGCCAAGGAAAAGAGATGCAGGGATACTTGGACTCGGAAAAGATGTATTGAATTTAGGCTAAGGAAGTGGGAGCATGATTTGAATGATTTTCACGCGTTGCATCTGGTCAACTTCAACGGAAATTGGGGAAGGTCTCGCTGGAAAGATGAATGCAGTGGTCGTTGCTGCAAAAAGAAGAAAATGTGAGGTAATGTCAAGTCTCAGTCTTGAAGATTCGACAAGAAAAGAATAAAGGCATGAAGAAAATTACTTGTTCCAGTGTATAGTTCAATAGTCTGTTGTTCTATTGCCATTTCCTTTGGTAATGCATCAACGGCAACGACCTTCTCTCTTAGGAATTGTTGCTGCTGCCTCCCCTCAGCCCTTTCAAGGACAACTATGGCTTTGGAATATTCTTGTTCTACAGCCTTATGGATGGGGTCTTCAAACGAGCCAGTAGCTAAAGCAGTAACCTTCCTCCTCTTTTCTATTACTTGGGCAATTGTCTCGGAATAAGAATCTTCAGTAAAATCGGAAGGAGAAACAGTAATTTTTCTTCTCCTTTTCCTTTGAATTGATATCATTCGTTCCTCCATTAAATCTTTGAGGGTAAAATGCCAAGATCAGTTAGATCCCGAGCAATACCATCAAAGCATGTGCCTGGAGTTAGAAGGCATAGATGAAGCCAGAATCCTGGCTTTGAATAGCATTCTTTTACAGAAGAAGAAAGCAGCCAAGAATTACAACAAGAAAGTTAAACACATTGGCTTTGATGAAGGTGATTTGGTATGGAAAACAATACTCCCAATAGGAATTAAAAGCCATAAGTTTGGCAAATGGTCACCTAACTGGGAAGGGCCATATCAAATTCATAGAGTTTTGCCTTTTGGAGCATATCATTTAAGAAATTTAAATGGTTATGTACATCCCAAAAAGATTAATGGCAGGTATCTGAAACCTTATTTTCCAACCATTTGGGAAACACAAGGAATAGGATAATACAAAAACACAAGGCTATTCGAATGATGCACAAGATTTGTTCTTTTATAAAGAATTAAATACGTTGTGCCACAGATTGGCCCAGAAATCATTACAATGTCTTAATTGTTTTTGTACAGTAGACTTTCTATTGCTAAGTAACGGAAATAATTGGATAGCTGCAGCCATGTCTCCTTTTCGATCAGTCAACTCTTGATTGGTGATGTGCAATTTGGTATCGGTTCGAACCAAGGCCTGGTTTACTGCAGCTAGCTCCTCTTCAAGTTGGGCTTTCTTCTCCAGCAGCTGAATTCGAAATTGAGAAGCAGAAAAGTGCTGTTCCTTGAGATCTGATACTTCAGTATGCACTTGAGAAACAAAACTCTGATCCTTAGCCAGTTTCTCGTCTGCAGCCTTAGCAGCATGACAAATGTTGAGATAGAAGTCAACAGTAGCTGCTGCCTGAGATAGATAACTTGAAACTTTCATGCCGGACTGCTCAGCGATTTTGCAACATTGAAGGAACCCATCTCTGATTATTGGCCTTTGCAGAGCCTCGAAGGGAATTCTTGAGAAAGAAATTAGCAGTTCTAGGCATGTGCCCATATCTATCAAAGGTGCAGAAGGCTTGCTGCTAGAGGAAGAACTCTCAAAAATTTCCAGCAAGGAGTCAGCCAAGACTAATGGCTCAGCTTCGGCATTAAATGATGGAGAGGTAGAGGGTGTGTCGGAGAAACTAGCCAGTTTGGCTTCGAAAATGTCTACCTCATCCATAGACATGAGGGGTGCAGAAAGTGTTGTGGTGAAAAGCACAGAGGACTGCATGGGAACAGGAGAAATAGGTGGAGCATTTCTGGCAGCCTCTATGGTCTTAACCACCAATGAATCAAGTGAAGAGGGGCTGGAAGTGGGTAAAGATGATGAACCAAGAGTTGGGGAACTATCAGCACCCTCTGAAGGAGAATCAACTGCCATGTGAGATGAAGTAGCAGTAGGAGGAAGAGCGAGGATCGAAGAAGCAAACTGAGGCAGATCAAGAGTCAAGAAAGGGAGGTATGGCTCTAAGCCAAGGAAAAGAGATGCAGAGATACTCGAACTCGAAAAAGATGTATTGAATATAGGCTTAGGAAGTGGGAGCATGATTTGAATGGTTTTCACGCGTTGCATCTGGTCAACTTCAACTGAAATTGGGGAAGGTCTCGCTGGAAAGATGAATGCAGTGGTCGTTGCTGCAAAAAGAAGAAAATGTGAGGTAATGTCAAGTCTCAGTCTTGAAGATTCGACAAGAAAAGAATAAAGGCATGAAGAAAATTACTTGTTCCAGGGAATAGTTCAATAGTCTGTTGTTCTATTGCCATTTCCTTTGGTAATGCATCAACGGCAACGACCTTCTCTCTTAGGAATTGTTGCTGCTGCCTCCCCTCAGCCCTTTCAAGGACAACTATGGCTTTGGAATATTCTTGTTCTACAGCCTTATGGATGGGGTCTTCAAACGAGCCAGTAGCTAAAGCAGTAACCTTCCTTCTCTTTTCTATTACTTGGGCAATTGTCTCGGAATAAGAATCTTCAGTAAAATCGGAAGGAGAAACAGTAATTTTTCTTCTCCTTTTCCTTTGAATTGGTATCATTCGCTCCTCCATTGTCTTCTCGACCTCTTTAGGTTGGGGTCCAGACTCTTCAAAAATGAGCTCCTCCTCTACCTTCTTAGCGGCCGTCTCCTCTTGAGCCAATTGAGGTACTCTTTTGCTTCTTTTCAAGGGAGACTCCTGTTCTTGATCTTCTTCTTCTTCTTCTGTCTCTGGAAGCTCAGTTTCTTCCTTTTCTAGCTCAAGGAGTCTCTTCTTCTTCTTTTGTTGTTGACCACCTTCATAGAAAAAGGATTAGAGATAAGATAGAAAGCATTATGTGGGGAGGTTAGAGAAAAGAAAAAAAGGGGTACATACTTCGGGTGACTCTGGGAGGAATTGAAGCAGCAGAAGTAAACTGAGTTGTAGCAGGTATTGTAATTGAAACAGTGGAAGAAATGACAGTCTCAGCTCCCTTGGGCTTGGGCACATCCAGCACCTCCAATAGGTTCTGAGGGGGGATAGCCAAATAAACCTCCATGTTGCTCACCCACCAATTTTGATATCTCTTCAATTCAGAACCTTGAGGAGAGAAAGGGGTGAACTCAAAACTGGCCAAATCATCCATAAACTTGAAGGTTGCCTCTTCTAACCTTGATTTTCGAACCTTCAAATCCCTCTTAGTAAGGCTCAGATTGGTGTTGCTACAGAGAGGGATTGGGACCCCTTGTGTGAGACCAAATTGTCTAGCAAATTGGGCAGGACAATAGGGCTCAGCTATACATTTATAAGCTCTAGGATTGGTGGTCCCGATGAATATCTCTCGAGGAATTAGAAGAGAAGCCCATATCTCCTTATGAACAGGTAAGGTGCAGAGCTTGTCACTTAGGAAATTATTCAACCAAGTTGGGCCAATATTGGATTCGAAGGGACGGAAGTAATGAAGAGGAAGGGTGGCTGGTAGCTGATGAAAGAAAGAAAAATAAAAGGAAAAAGTAGAGGGATAGAGTGAAGCATTGGCCAATCTTATGCCATGGGTAAAAGAAAACGGCCCAGAAAATTTGAGGCATTTGGATTGCAAGTCGGTGAAGTAGGCGAAAAGCCAAAGCTGAAGGATCCAGAATGGCCCCCCTTGGTTAGCATCTAAGGGTTTTTCACAAAAGAGAGAGCAAGCTCTATATGTATGGCCTAAGATATATGGGGCCAAGGCTACTCGTTTCCGCAAGACGAAGGCTTTGGCAAGAGGAGCAAATTCTGACATTATTCTTTGGGAAGAAGTACAGAAGAGAAATTTGCAAAGCCAGTATAACAAGAAGGAAAAGAATTCCCTATCAGTTACCGGGCCCTCTTTTTTATTCTCAGCTCTAACAAAATCACTATAAGAGGAAGTAAAAGAAGGGAGAAGGAAAGGGACCGTTAAATCAGGGAAATCTGGGGTAATGGGAGTACCAATAGGGGATACTCCTAAAAGATGGCAAATGTCAAGGACAGTGGGAGCCATCATCCCACACCTAAACTGAAAGAAATTGAAAATAGGGTTCCAAAAACATAAAGTAGCAGGAATTAGAAAAGGGTCTTCTGAGATAGTTACCCTAGATAGTCAAAGAGCATCGAGAAGGCAGAGTTCTTGAAGGTCCAGTGTCCTAGCAGGGACAACCCGGTCGTACCATTCTTGCCACTCTGGTCTCATCGTGGGCCAGCATCGGTGAGGACGATTGACTTTCCAACCTTTCCAGTCGAGACCACCCTCATACAGAAGACATTGATTCTCCAAACGAGGATATAGGGCGGGAAGCTCAGAAGGGATCTCCTTGAAAATGGGCCCAAGCACGTACTCTCGCTGCACATGGCGACGAGGGATAAAGATACGCCCATCGATGACACTTTTCTCATCACCCTTGTAT